TTGTGTTGAAGTAGTCACGCATCCTCGAGGCAGTTACACAATGCTTACAATTGTCTCAGGAAGTGAAAGCACCAGAAAGTAAATAAAGTCATACGCAGCTGTCATCCGTACGCAAGAAAGTAAGCACAAGATGCCGAAAACCCTTAGCAGGATGCAGCGCACCCTTCATGCGACTCGCCGAATATCTCACGGCGCTTCGCGCTTGGTGATGTGAGAGCCTAGTCCGGTGAGAACCCGGCGTGCTCCGTCCCGGCTTTGTAGGGATGCGAGGTCACTGGTCTAACGACTACGGCATGCACGACTATGAGTACACCCCCCCCACCCCAGCCCCCCCGCACCAGGCGGGGCTGAATGATAGCATGCCTTTTGCTAATCTCCATTGCTCCACCAACCACCCTGTGGTGGAATGTGGGCGGAGACCCGCACGACTTCGTGCGCCCCCCCGAGACGACGATGGCTCCGCTGCCCTGCCGTACTTACCTCGTCAAGTCATTCCCGCGGCTACCGCTAAGAAGCCTCTGCCTCCACGTCCAGCTCCTATTAATAGTGCCTGGCGCCACCTCAATTGCTTGGGTTGCATGCTCCGATGTGCGAATGCCCTTGTCGAGTGCAAACCCTCAGAGTTCTCGGATTAGGTGATAGGTCGCTTTCGGGAGGTTTGCCCTAGGCCGACCGGTTTCCCCCCTTTGTCGTACCGGCAAGTACTGTTTACCTCCTTCATTGCATCGGCCGCCACCTCCGCGGCCTTCCTCGCCGCAGTCACCGTTGCCGTTGCCGTTGCTGTCTTCACCACCGCCGTTGCAAGCCGTTGCAGTGGTCTGTTGCCGCCGTGGCGTCAGTTGGCGTGGCCATGGTTGCGACCAGCTTGCCGCTTGCCACCTCTGCCATTTGGCGAGGAAAGGCCTGTTCGGTCTTATGGTGATGGCGATAACCGTACCGCCGATCCTTCACCTGATGAAGGTTGGCGTGCTGCGAACCCACAAAGCGGGTGATTTCCCCCCCGATACAGGGTCAGCGCGGACTGCAACGTAAATTGGTGATGGTTGTACTCAGGCCGTAGGGAGAGGAGGTAAGAGAGACGAAACGGGACATCAAAGTGGATCCGTTTTCATTTAGGCGATCTACAAGTTGCTCCACCACGATCAACGACTCGATTGGGGTCTTGCAGCAGGTATCGACAATTGGGTACGTGCATGGAACATTGTTGAACAAAACCTGTCTTCGCTGCCTGCGATTGTGGATCTAGCTAGTACCCTGTCTTATCCTTCAGAGTACTGTTCGCCGTCACTCATCTGGCGGGGATAGATTTGTCGGAGTCTTTCGCTAGAGCCCAAGAAACGTAGTGGAAAGAAGCGCCTGGACATTCCGGTGGATTTCCTCCTAGGTATGGCCCTCTGCCAGACAAGGGGCTTTCGGGTTTCTCAAGTCTCGCAACAAGTATACGGCTCTGTGTCCCCTACAAATTGACGATCAATGGCAGTTTTCATTGCAGCTGGAACAATCGCGCTCCTCAAGCGTACTCAACACCCGTGGTCACGTTTTTTCTCGATCGAGACACGGCGCGTTTCCTGATTCACACACGATGTTGCAAGACCTTCCAGAAAACCCGCCTGCTTGTCCGCTGAACCACCAAGACCACCACCAACAGCTATTGGCTATAGGAATCACACGTTGGGGGAATAAGCCCCTGACGTCTCCGCTTGCCGGTCCTGTGTCCGGGCCTCCTCCCGCATGGATTCTTGGTACTACCGGGCAGGTTCCCGGTATGGTGTTGCCTCCCTCTTAGCTTCATGTTACGGGCGGCGTGAATTTTTCGTCCAGATGCGGCCCCCCCCCCGTGACGACAGCGCCCACCTTTGGGCTGCCGGACTCCCCATCCTTTTCTCTCTTTCCTACGACGGCTAGCCTTAGGTTCTACAGCTCCTGCACCTTGCCCGAAAGTCTCTTCTATAGTAGATCGTTGCCCCTCTCTTGCTTACGAGCATCGTCGGTGGAATCACCCTAGCGTCGGTGTTAGTCATGTTCAACGGGTTTCCTGGAGAGACATACATACGTGTTCGTGTGTACCCTTGTGTGTGTGGACGATTGGAGATTTTGCTTTCCCTGCACACTGTACCTCACTCGTTCTGGGTGGCTTTGCTGGCCAGTATTGATGAAGCGCAAGTGATCCGGCACGAGTCACCCCCGGTTCGAACACACCGTTCAACCCTGTTCGTATTTGGGGGGGAGGGGTGCCCTTTCGGATCAACCATCCGACCCATGCAGTGGTAATGCGCCCGTTTTCGTTTTGTTTGCGACCATCTTCTCCTACCCGAACCACAATACGGCCGACTTTCCGAGGTAAATTACGTCAATCTCCCCTTTAAATGATGCAGCAACATGTGCGTACAACTCGTGACACAACGAACACTGCCGCTCCCGGCTCATTATTGGGGCACAACGTTTCGGCATCACCAAGAAGCGTATTTGTGTATACGTTGTCTTCCCGGATTGACATTTGCCTCTATGTCTTGCCTTCCTCAACAGAGCCATGGCAAGCACGAGTCAGACGTCAGCAGCAGCTCCGCTGGCCGCAGCAGGTAAACAAGTTTGAGCTGCAAACACCTCCTTGTTCTGGTAAAGCTGTCTCAGGTATGGTGTGTATGTATTCCCACAGACGCCCGAAGAGGACCTTCAAAACAATGTGGCCTGCTTGGGGTCGTCAAGTGCTCGAGCTCTTTGTTCGCTCTCTGTTTCACTCAACGTTCATGTGTCATGCCCGCGCACAAGCACCGTACGATTTACGTTGCCACTCACTTTGAAATACATGCCGATGTGCTGCTGATCGCCTTGAACAGGCTCGGCGGAGATAGATCGCGAAGTGCTCCTTCACTTTTTCCGATCAACGGGCGGGAACTGTTGGACACATCAAGAGGGCTGGGCGGAGAATGCGGACGACCTCGGCAGCTGGTACGGGGTCACGTCGAACGCAGAGGGTCGAGTGGTGAAGTTGGAGCTGCATGGAGAAAGACTAGATGATGGTGGCGTTTACACTGGCAATAATGTCACCGGTAAGAACAGAGCGCGATTTACACGAAGTTTCTATCTACTGTCTCATGAGCTGCAGCACATCCGTTTCATCCGTTTTCTCTCTAGGTTCCATGGGCACCCAAAAATTTTGTGCTGGGATCTGCTCATGGTCTTATGTCTACAGCGCTACAGGATAATGCAGACGGTTGGTGTGGTTTCCACAAGTAAGGCACCATTTGCTCACTGAAACCGCGTTTGGCGAACACGGTTCTTGCAATCGTCTCCTAGGCGTACCTGGATGTGGATGGCCACGTACGCGTGGGTTTGTGTACTTGATGTACGTGTTTATCGTCGGGTGAGGTGGTTAGGTTAATTCGAGTGTGCACATCGTTCGTTGCTGGAGTATGACTGAACGATTGAATGGTCGTGGTTTATTGCTCTGGACGATGTGCGATCTTTTTGAAGTTCCACGAGTCATCGCCTTGTAACCCTTCCGTGTGGAGGTGTCACAATACCTAGACCCATGTAAACGGATGATGGGCGAATGTTCCTCTGCACCCTTCCATATTCTCGCTAATGCTTCAGAGGAGTTGTGTGTTTCGGGTCGCCAAGTCCGTTCATATGTCGTCTACCGCGCATATGCAAGTCTCACGCTGGTCTTGCAGCCGGGTCCATTGTTGCTGATGCTGTGATCCGTGTATCGTGTTGTGTGTACATGCTGGTGCTGTTGGCAGGTGGCATACCGCGGGGGCTTGGTCGACTCGGTGCTCTTGAGGTGCTGAATCTTTCGTACAACGAGCTCTCCGGTAAGTTCGCATGTTGTGGTCACAGGTTAGGGTCACAGGTTGGCTCGCGTCTTTGGCGGTTATGAACGTCGTGTTTGGCGACGCCCAAAAGCGTGCGGGCGTTTGTCTTGAGGCGTGGAGGCGTTGTGGTTAGTTGTGGAGAGTCATCGGGTGGCGTGTGACAGAGGCGGGGCGAGGTAGGTGTGGTATCTGGGCCTGGTGCTCCGGAGGGGCTTGGACAAGCAACCTACTTCGTTGCCTCGAGTGGATGAGACGGTGCAGGATATGCTCGGTACCCATGATACTTCTCTAGGCTGACTGATTGTCGCCAACCTTTCGACCTCAAGATGCATGGTGCTAGGAAGTCCGGTGTCACGACATGAGTCATGAGTGTGAGAAGCCATCCACGAACTGATGCATGCGGTGGAAGCTTGTTTCTACGGCACTGGTATTTTGTGGTGTTGCTCGCCTCTTGGTTGATGCGATCGGAAAGTGGATGAAACCCAAAACGCCAATTGTGTGACGGCCGTTGAGTGGAACGCCAATGTTTGGCTTCTGGGGGTGGTTGCGATGATCGCGCTTGACGTTGTCCCAGGTGGTGCTGTCTGAACTTGGAGTCATTCATGTACGTGTTGTTTTGTGACGGACCACGTACCGAGTTCAAAAGGTCTTTCTTATGCTCGCGGCGTAGTTATTGGACGACTGGCGATGTCGTAGGAGTGTAGGGTGTGTTCGAGTTGTGTGCGTTCCTTGTAGAGGTGTCACGAACCCTAGCCTCCGGCGAAACGGATCATTTCTAACTTCGCTTGTGCCCTTATGACCTCTCCGTTTGTTGAGAGGAGTTGGAGCGTATTCGGTCGCCAGCTCGTTCATTTTGTCGTCTACCGCCGACATGAGAGCCTCACGCTGGTCTTGCAGCCGGGACTATTCTTGCTGATGCTGTGATCCGTGTATGGCGGTGTGTTGTTCTTGCTGGTGCTGTTTGCAGGTGGCATACCGCCGGAGCTTGGTGGACTCGGTGCTCTTGAGGTGCTGAATCTTAGCCGGAACAAGCTCTCCGGTAAGCAAGACCAGTGTTCGCATGTTGTGGTCACAGGTTAGGGTCACAGGTTGGCTCGCGTCTTTGGCGGTTAAGAACGTCGTGTTTGGCGACGCCCAAGAGCGTGCGGGCGTTTGTCTTGAGGTGTGGAGGCGTTGTCGTTGGTTGTGATGTGTGACAGAGGCGTGGCTAGGTGGTAAAGAGCCCAGGGCCGGGTGAGTGAGCAGGTTTGTTTGAAGGTTCCAGTTTCGCTCACCCCAGGTCTCGAAATCTGAATAACCCATCTAGCTTGCTGTGCTTACATCGGTATTATTATTTACCGTAGCGCGCGTTGAGGACGCACCGGAGTAAGTTCGCAGTGGGACGTGGAGTCTGCACTCGAGGTGCATATACCAGAGTTTGCTCGCGGGAGCGTTGCTCGATGTGGTGCAATCAAACAATGAACGATTGCACGATGGTGAGCGATGGCTGACACGACATCACTTGGAGTGTGAGATGATTGGGAAAGAATCCTTTCAGCACGCCGGGAACCCCGCCTTTGCGGCGAGTACATATTATCCGTTGTAGTCCAGTTGCTCAATGCCATTATTTTGTGTGGGCGCGGAGGTGCATCTCGTTGGCATTTCTAGTTTCGAAAGGAAAGAGAAGATCGAAATATAACCTGTCCTAGGCATTCATTGTCTCCATCCGTCCTTTCGCCGGGGGACCATTTGATACCAGTAAGTTATCACCAACCAATCCGGCAAACCCACCCCATACCCAGATTTTTTTTTTGAAACCGTGGTCAAACATGACGGACGGCTCTACGATGCTAGAACTGCACAGGAGTGTGCAAACTACATTCGTGCCACTGGCAATGGGAGTATTCGGGAAAATACATTGATTGCAACGTGTGAGCGATCTTGCCGTGAAGACGTGGGCAATCCTCGGCAATTGGAAGATCAATCGATACACGGTGTATCCGCCTGAATAATGGATGGATATGGCGGAGCGAGGGTGACGTAGTTCGGTCTGAGAAGTCTTTCCACTTTCATTACCCATATCCTTGGAATCCGCCCCCTCTGGCATTTAGTGGTCGAGTGGGCAGGGCCTTCGTCCGATGCACACCTGGAGGAGGTCGTGAAGCGGTCGTTTCCGCTACGGCCATGCGGGGACTCACATGTGAATCAACGACATGTATGTCTCAATGTTTTCACCTGATCGTGGCCCAGTCGTTGGACGACTTGCGATGTTGATGGAGTGCCTGATGTGGTGGTATTGTGGGGCTCGCGGGTGTAGGCGTGACGAAACCTCTCCTCTTGGAAACATACGATGGGCGATTGTTCCTCGGCACCCTTCTTGTTCTCTCCCTTTCTTGAGAGGACTTGGGTGTTTTGGTCTCCAATTTCGTTGTCATGGCCTATACCGCGTGTATGGAAGACTCACGCTTGGGTTGCAGGCGGATTAGTTGTTGCTAAATGCTGTGTTCGGCGTATGGTATGTTGCCTCGCTGGTGTTCTTGGCAGGTGCCATACCGCCGGAGCTTGGTGGACTCGGTGCTCTTGAGGGTCTGGATCTTTCGTACAACGAGCTCTCCGGTAAGCAAGACCAGTGGTCGCAGGTCACATGTTTCTTATTCGACAGACCCCCCAGCTGCGCCCCGTTTCTTAGGTAGTGGTGTAGCGGTGACACCTGCCTTGTTGTTGAAAGTTTCTAAAAGTGTGGGCTACATTGATGTATTTTTCTTAACCCTGCTTCCTTAGTTTCCGTGAACACTTGAGCCTATGTTTCTGAAATATTGTTTATTTTTTCGCTACGGGCGCCAACTCTGTTGGCTGTGTCACCCACCGCGTGTTATGCAGCTTCGATCCTTGACGCTCCTCAATTGTGAATTTTGTCATACGTCATGCCTTATGCGGCGTACGGCCAACGTCCACCTTAAATCCCACCATATTCGTGTTCGTCGATCGTCAGCTTTGGACGTACCAGCCGTGGTCAGACAGGAGGATGGCAGCACCGCTTTTGCTCGACCATTGTTGTTGTTGTTCTGACCCAGGGCTAACTACCTGAAGAAGCTGAAGTGACAATTATCTCTTTTTCGTAGGCAGGTCGTGACAAGTTGTTCGTTCACGGATACATATTCGTCCACACACAAATGCACCCTACCCTCATCATATGCTCCGCCAAAATCTCAATTGAAGAGCCCAGGGCCGGGTGAGTGAGCAGGTTTGTTTGAAGGTTCCGGTTTCTCTCACCCCAGGTCTCGAAATCTGAATAGCCCATCTAGCTTGCTGTGCTTACATCGGTATTATTATTTACCGTAGCGCGCGTTGAGGACGCACCGGAGTAAGTTCGCAGTGGGACGTGGAGTCTGCACTCGAGGTGCATATACCAGAGTTTGCTCGCGGGAGCGTTGCTCGATGTGGTGCAATCAAACAATGAACGATTGCACGATGGTGAGCGATGGCTGACACGACATCACTTGGAGTGTGAGATGATTGGGAAAGAATCTTTTCAGCACGCCGGGAACCCCGCCTTTGCGGCGAGTACATATTATCCGTTGTAGTCCAGTTGCTCAATGCCATTATTTTGTGTGGGCGCGGAGGTGCATCTCGTTGGCATTTCTAGTTTCGAAAGGAAAGAGAAGATCGAAGTATAACCTGTCCTAGGCATTGTCTCCATCCGTCCTTTCGCCGGGGGACCATTTGATACCAGTAAGTTATCACCAACCAATCCGGCAAACCCACCCCACACCCAGAGTTGTTTTTTGAAACCGTGGTCAAACATGACGGACGGCTCTACGATGCTAGAACTGCACAGGAGTGTGCAAACTACATTCGTGCCACTGGCAATGGGAGTATTCGGGAAAATACATTGATTGCAACGTGTGAGCGATCTTGCCGTGAAGACGTGGGCAATCCTCGGCAATTGGAAGATCAATCGATACACGGTGTATCCGCCTGAATAATGGATGGATATGGCGGAGCGAGGGTGACGTAGTTCGGTCCGAGAAGTCTTTCCACTTCCATTACCCATATCCTTGGAATCCGCCCCCTCTGGCATTTAGTGGTCGAGTGGGCAGGGCCTTCGTCCGATGCACACCTGGAGGAGGTCGTGAAGCGGTCGTTTCCGCTACGGCCATGCGGGGACTCACATGTGAATCAACGACATGTATGTCTCAATGTTTTCACCTGATCGTGGCCCAGTCGTTGGACGACTTGCGATGTTGATGGAGTGCCTGGTGTGGTTGTGTTATGGGGCTCGCGGGTGTAGGCGTGACGAAGCCTCTCCTCTTGGAAACATACGATGGGCGATTGTTCCTCGGCACCCTTCTTGTTCTCTCCCTTTCTTGAGAGGACTTGGGTGTTTTGGTCGCCAATTTCGTTGTCATGGCCTAAACCGCGTGTATGGAAGACTCACGCTGGGGTTGCAGGCGGATTAGTTGTTNGGTGTCATGGCCTATACCGCGTGTGTGGAAGACTCACGCTGGGGTTGCAGGCGGATTAGTTGTTGCTAAATGCTGTGTTCGGCGTGTGGTATGTTGCCTCGCTGGTGTTCTTGGCAGGTGCCATACCGCCGGAGCTTGGTGGTCTCGGTGCTCTTTGCATGCTGGATCTCAGCGAGAACGAGCTCTCCGGTAAGCAAGACCAGTGTTCGCAGGTCGGGGTCACATGTTTCTTATTCGACAGACCCCCCAGCTGCGCCCCGTTTCTTAGGTAGTGGTGTAGCGGTGACACCTGCTTTCTTGTTGAAAGTTTCTAATAGTGTGGGCTACATTGATGTATTTTTCTTAACCCTGCTTCCTTAGTTTCCGTGAACACTTGAGCCTATGTTTCTGACATATTGTTTATTTTTTCGCTACGGGCGCTAACTGTGTTGGCTGTGTCACCCACCGCGTGTTATGCAGCATCGATCCTTGACCCTCCTCAATTGTGAATTTTGTCATACGTCATGCCTTATGCGGCGTACGGCCAACGTCCACCTTAAATCCCACCATATTCGTGTTCGTCGATCGTCAGCTTTGGACGTACCAGCCGTGGTCAGACAGGAGGATGGCAGCACCGTTTATGCTCGACCATTGTTTTTGTTGTTCTGACCCAGGGCTAACTACCTGAAGAAGCTGAAGTGACAATTATCTCTTTTTCGTAGGCAGGTTATGACAAGTTGTTCGTTCACGGATACATATTCGTCCACACACAAATGCACCCTACCCTCATCACATGCTCCGCCAAAATCTCAATTGAAGAGCCCAGGGCCGGGTGAGTGAACAGGTTTGTTTGAAGGTTCCAGTTTCGCTCACCCCAGATCTCGAAATCTGAATAGCCCATCTAGCTTGCTGTGCTTACATCGGTATTATTATTTACCGTAGCGCGCGTCGAGGACGCACCGGAGTAAGTTCGCGGTGGGACCTGGAGTCTGCACTCAAGGTGCATATACCAGAGTTTGCTCGCGGGAGCGTTGCTCGATGTGGTGCAATCAAACAATGAACGATTGCACGATGGTGAGCGATGGCTGACACGACATCACTTGGAGTGTGAGATGATTGGGAAGTAATCCTTTCAGCACGCCGGGAACCCCGCCTTTGCGGCGAGGACATATTATCCGTTGTAGTCCAGTTGCTCAATGCCATTATTTTGTGTGGGCGCGGAGGTGCATCTCGTTGGCATTTCTAGTTTCGAAAGGAAAGAGAAGATCGAAGTATAACCTGTCCTAGGCATTGTCTCGATCCGTCCTTTCGCCGGGGGACCATTTGATACCAGTAAGTTATCACCAACCAATCCGGCAAACCCACCCCA